CCGGGATCTGATTGTCGCTGACTCGCTTAGGTAGCTTAGATCGCCCTTCCAGATTCATCATAATATATTGGTGGTGCGCAAATTTGAACCGGCAAACGAGACATAGACGATTTCCGAAGTTCTTTTTACCTGATCCCTCGGTAGCGAAATGAAGGGAAATGAATAGGTGCCTCTGCTTGATGTCACGGACAAATTCAATTTTAATTACCTTGCCTCAAACCGTGGCGCAGGGTGGGGGAAAACGCTTGAGCCTGTCGGACATTTTCTTTGCGACGATCATTGCGTACTGCGTACTTACCAGGAATAGATAGGTAGCCTATAGCCTACCTTAGTCTGGACTGGGCGTTGAGGTACCCCCACCCGTTCAGCGAATGGTGTTGGTTGCCTACAGCTGCCCTTCTCGACTGTTTGAAACTCGATACCTTAGTAAGGTACGGGTATCCATAGGTACAGCTTGACGTCTCAGGACCAAAACAGTCTCAGCTGTTCATTAGCATTCGAGCATCAATATACATCTCCACGATCAATCCAGTTACTGAAAGTTTCCTCGTCTGGCTGTAGAACGCGTACAGTCCAATGCTACTGGCTTATAGAAACTTGTACTCTATGGCTCTCATTTCCAAAGGGTCATCTATCCTGGATTATTAACGCCAATATCCTGCCACACACGTCACAGTCACTAATTCTATGATCGAATAATGGCACACTTTTGATCTCACATCACATTTTTTTGTGACTATACAACATGATGGTTTTATTGCAGCCCCGTACTTACTTGGCATTTGGATGAAAAGTTGGGCTTGTTGATCAGGATCAACACTTTCATATTCATCGAATTTCATTGAGGCTCGTGTCGCACTCGGGATTTGCAAGTGCAGAGACCAGCGAGGTACGGTTTGACATTGGTTCAGTATTATCCTTCACTCTTCCACAGGCATGGTTAGGTCTCTTCGCAGAAAGAGTATAAAAGTTCTTGTTGAAGTAGGGGAACACCTGTTCTCGACCGACTGAATAGGTAGATTGGTGAGTTGCAGCCCACCGCCACTTGACGTCCTGACCCGAGTCAACCTGTATCGTGTAATTTCTGATACATTTCGTATGGCTGAGCAAGAGTGATCAGTTGAACCAGCTCCGAATACCTGATCTCTTTTGTTCAACTTGGGAGAGCACTTGACTGTCATTAACCGTACGTGTCTGAGGTACGTAGCAGTACTTGTCAACTCAGCTGGACGGACAACGACCGAATGCAATAGACCATCTCTGTCAGGACCGTTGTCGATTGGAGTCCGTGATAGATAATTCTCGACCTCGGGCCTATTCCTGCGGCTTGGCAACTTAGCTCCCATTCAAGCCTCACCCTTTCCAAGAGTAGACCAGGCTGGCACCTCTCCTGCTACTGAATAACAATGCAATTAATTCCTGTTTACTTGAGGACATGAAGGGACCAACCCCGAGCATTCGAAAGGGTTGATTGGCTGGCTTGATGTTGTGGTGGCATCCACCGCCTTAGTCGGAACAGTAAATTAAGGCAAGCCACCGTTGGCCCCACTGGTCCCTAGGTAATCTTGCAGATGACGGATAACCCCTTGTCCCTCGGCCCAGCGGTTCGATGAGAGGAGTGATAACTCTCAAACGAAAGTTCAGCAATCAGTGCGACCATGATTTTGAAGACTCTTTCCTGTGCTTTGCACAGATTCAATGAGCTGTGGAAATTTCCGTACTGTGTAATATAAAGTTGAATATGCGCTAATAGTCTTGCATCCGATATCATACTTACTTCAGGGCACAAATAGTGTTAAAGTGTCGCTATTCGCCTCGGGGTTCAACATAGAGAGCAGTGCGGTTCTGCCTATGGCGGTAATAATAGTGATCATAATGTCGGTCCGCTGGCGAGTTTAGATACAATCTAGATTCGCGTCTTGCTTCATGATTGTGGTTCTGGTCCGACAGATCAACAAGCCCTAATTTCGCAATAGATCATCAGAACCATCTGATTGCGAACGAGTCTAATGTCCAACTAGTAGGGCTCATCCACCAAGGAGGGGCACATCTGTTGGAGAATTAATTGGATCTGATTGTAGATGACTGAAACGAACCAAGAATGCTCTTCAGAAGGATGATTGGGGGGCCTGTTGTAATGAAGTACCGAGTACCTCCAACCTTAAGATGCTAAATACTATTTTCAAGGTTAAGAGTGAGTCTAGAACCTATCCCTGAACATTTAAGTATTCAGTTCAAGGATGTCGGGAACTCAAGTCATGTACCACCAGCTGGTTCGGGAGACAATTGGAAGCCATGTGTACACACAACAAGTGATAAGTGATACGTCAATAGATACATGTAGAGGTGTCTGCTGGCCCCGTACGGAGCTAAATTCACGGCAAGTAGGTGACTCGTAATATGAAGCTCAGCGGAGCGTTGACTAGGTTGAATTACCTTTACGAATCACACAAGCAATGACGATGTACAATCTATTCTTCAGTTCTAGGTAGTAGGCACAAACTATTATTGCGTGGCCACTGGCCAGAACAGTCTTATGTTTTCAGCTTCCTGGTCGATACTTGCCCGTAAAGGAAAGGGTGTTCGTCTCCGCCGTTAGACTAACTGCTTGGAGAATGGAGATCCATCGCAGGGGCTCGGGTCCGGCTTACCAGAAGTTAGAAACCTAGAAATAATCAGAAAAGCCGTTGAGACGTGAACTTGATCGTCTACTTCGAACCGGTATAAGCCTGACGCTGGCAAAAGCATATATATCTTCTCAATATTGTTGCCTGTCAGCAGAAGTAGTTAATGCTCTCAAGATCTCTCCATGCTATCATATCCTAATGTCCACATTGATTAGTCGTATCCATTGCCCTCTCTGACTTTGTTTGTATTTGACTATCCGTATCTGCAAGAGTCATCGTTGAGTATAAACAGCCCGTTCGTCACTGATGTACGATTGTCAGAACTACCACCATGGTTAATAAGCCAATTCTTCAAGACTCGAAGTAGTAATATTTTTGGGGCAACAAGCAGGACGATGAGGGTTGTAGGAAATAAAGGTAGAAATATACAAAGGAAAATACTGTATAAAAGAGGGAAAAAGAACAGATATTTTAATAGGAATTTCATTCAAAAATTAAAGGACAATCAGTGGTTCGCATACCGGGGTTCCCGGTATGTAGTTTAAGTCTTAAGTACAGAAAAGGGCTTAGACTCGCTTTCTTCTACTTAGGTCCCCTCTGGTCATCTAGTGCCCCTCTTATTTCCCCTCGTTTGATCTTTTCATGAATAATCTCATCGTCAGATCTCCAATCGAGTCTTCATATGTGCTCCATTGCCCTCCACTTGAGGGTGGGATTATCAAGAAATAAGATCAACGACGTTTTAAGATGCTCGAATACAGAGAGCACAGAGTTACTTGGCCCTGCAAAGCCTCGTCGATACTCCCGTCTCTCGCAGATTGGAAGATAACTTGATCGCTTTATTTCTCAAGCTGACTGTTGGCTACTGTAATCTCTTCCTGTCTTCACGAACATGCTAGGCATTCATCAAATGATCAAACCCAGTCTTCCAAACCAAAAACACGGGCTCGAACGTTCTGAGAGGTTTGACCGCCAGAGAAGGCTTTGATTAAAGTATCTAGTACCCTGGGTGTGGAACCCATTATAGCTACTCGAAGAGTCGGGAGTATTGTTAGTGTTCGAGACTGGTACCAAGTAATAATAAAAAATATTAGAATAGTTCAGAGAAATAGGCAATGGACCCTTCTACCTACCCAACCCATGTCCACGAGTCGTCTCGAAATCAAAGGCACTCCTGGAGCATAGGGAATAGAAACATTCTACAGAGCTAGCGTATGGGAAGGTACAGGACCTATAATGTAGGTAGGTACCTGAACAGACGCCCATTTTGCGCCGTAATTAGGTATGCATAAATCTTACCACCGTTGGTAAACATAGGTAATAAACAACCAGAAATAATAACAACCTTACACTAACGGTAAATAATAAATAAAAATCATCATTATTATTAAAATCATCATCAAACTTGGGTAGACGAACAACAACGGGGCCTGCTCGAACCCACCTCACCACTGAAACCTGTTAATCGCCTCCGTCCTAAGGTAGTCTCGTAATCTGTTACCTGTAGGGTCATAGGCTCATAGGTTGACCTTCCTTGTACTCTTGTGTCGTAGGAAGGTAGTAAGTAGTATCTAGTAGCTACCTTAGTTAAATTACTACTATAGCTGCAAAAGCCTCTAATTTGCTGTCTGCCAACTGCTGGATCAGCTGTCAACGATGATGATCTCTTCCTATGCATCTCAAACTGTTTCATCTTCCTTTTGAATCTCCCTCCTTTTCTTTTGACCTTTTTGTCTTTTCTTCCTCTTCTTCTGCTCTTTCCCTCGTGATCCCGGATTTCCCTTCTTATCTTCTCGTTGGCATTATCTATTCTTTATACTCTTCACTCGGTGAAGACTCTCATCTGATACTATACTCGAATCGTCACATAAAGACTCGTTCTGCCATTGACACATTCTACTTTCAATCTCTCATCTGTTAGAAGACCTCATTTGGTTCCTACACGATATTCCACTTCTCAAATCTTCGCCTTTACGCCCAGTGTTTTGATATTGTCGTTATCTGCGTCTTGTCAACTTTGCGCTATTTGGTGGTTTACCTTGCAAACGTCACACGGCTAGACTGTGCCATCTACCCATCTTTGCTAGAACTTTGGAGCTAGCAGGGTAAGCAAGTTTGCGAGACCGATTGTCTGTCTCAAATTGTCTTTGTTTCGGGAGGAATTCTGCTTCATCACTCGACTCTTTATATCATCCTAGATTATCTTCCTTCGTTGCTCTTTCTGTGTGTACCGATCGACGAACACATCGAAGGTAACCTTATCTGGCCGGTAAGCCAGGTCATCAGGAATCTTTTCCTCGTTTGCATATGCATTCTTTTGGCTCATAGCCCACAACCATTGCAGGCTGAGTCTCTCCATTGCGAGTCGCGCATATGATTGCGTTACAAAACCAGGCTTTCTACCCTCCTGCCAAAGTGGATATCTCACTGCTTCTGAAGCCCCAAGATGAGGAGGAAGCCGCCTCGGTGACTACTACGTCCGCCTTCCCTTCGAGGGCCCTCCCTCCAGCTTCCATGGGCCAAGCGACACCTGTCGCAGCCTCGACGCCTTTGTCATCCGCGCCGCCTCTTACCGCGAAAATCCCAGCGTCCGTCCCTGCCAAGCGTCTGCAGCCAGCCCATACAGCCGAGTCTCCGGCCAAGAAGCAATCGAAGTGGTCCCCCGAGGAAGATGCACTCATTATAGAGTTGCGGGGTAGTGGCATGAAGTGGGAGGACATCAGTAAACGGCTCCCGGGGCGAAGCGCTATCAGCTGCCGTCTGCACTATCAGAATTACTTGGAGCGCCGAAGCGAGTGGGACGAGGACAAGAAGAACAAACTTGCAAGGCTATACGAGAGGTGCGTTTCTGAAAAGACTGGCCCTGTCTACTCAGGCGGAGAGAATTTGATTTTGGAGATAATCTTGAAAGCTGCGAAGACGACTTGCTGACTAGGAGACTATAGGTTCAAGGCAGAGATGTGGTCAAAAGTAGCAGAAGAGATGGCCATCCCATGGAGAGCCGCGGAGGCTATGCATTGGCAGCTAGGGGAGCAAGAAATGGCACGCCGCGCTGGCGTAGTCCCATTTTCGTTATCGAGTTCAGCCATAGATCCGCCAGCGACCAGGGTTCGCAGGGCCAGTACATCGTTATCTCGCCCAAGAAAAGGATCTGCATCACGTACTATTCCTCCGCCCCAACTTCCGTCAGTTGAAGAACTTACCGCTGGTGTTCCTGCATATGCGCCAGCCCCGCCGTTTCCCCTACCGCGAGATGCCTATCAATTTGGCCGTCCTCTGGACTTGAGCGGCAGCCATAGCGGGCATTTAGGACCTCCCTATGGTTTGCCGCCTCGAACGCTGCCATAGCGGAATCGAAATGATCCGAAAATTCTCGTTTTCCTCCTTTTCCTTTTTGTTTTTGATATTTCTTTTCCTTTGTTTTGGATTTCGTGTTGTTATGATATGCATAGCGCAGGTTGAAGGTGTTCCTCACTATTTGTGAGGGGAGTTCTCATAGAAATGATCTTCGTGATCCCCTGGCTTCCTGTTACTGAGCGTTTCCAGGAGGCTTTCAACTCGACGAATTCTCTTTTGTCATCACCCATCATATATGATGGACGTTATGTGCAATTTACATGAACAGAAAACGGGGAGGTATGCAAGGTAGAGGCTTCGAGGCTGGTTCTCGAAGTCCAAGGTTATATCGACAAGCACAACTGTCCTCTACTCATCGGATCGTCTCGCAATCGCCCACCAGTTGTCTTTTTCATAGCCCGAATCTAGAACACGGCCGCCCGCTCTTTCGATGTCGCGTTCCAGTTCTGTTGCCTCATAGAGGTGATAGTACCGGTGGAAAGTCCTCGGCTCGTCGTCAGAGCTACCATTGGCAGGCTTCGGCTTCAAAACCCAAGGAACCATTACGTCCTGCTTGTCGCCTTTGTCCCAACCCCTGCGGCTGGTTTTTTGTTCCAAGGCCCAAACATACAGCAGGACTCTGCCTCCGGACGATTTATCAGAGGCAGGTTTCAGAGTGCGGAGAATTTCGCGGATAGCCTGAATTCTTCGTTCAGGTGTGGACAGATGGTGTACAACAGCGATTGAGATAGCGAAGTCAAATAACGAATCTGGATGTGGCAGATTCAGGATGTCCGCCACAATAGTTGAATGCGGCTGGTGTTTGACGGCGATCCGGGCGAGATTCTCGGAGCTGGCTGGCGTTAGCTATCGATCGTTGAATGTGACAGAGGACGAGACATTGCGAAAGGAAGTGACAATGAATGAACAAATATATATACAAGATTGGGAACGAATATCACCCTGAGCATTCTACAAACACGTTCATGAAGTAGCAAATAGTAGAACATCTGATAAAGACCTACCGATCCGAGGCAACTATAAAAACGTCCTTATTTACAGACAAGTACTTGCCATTGCCGCACCCCACATCAAGACCAATAGACCCCGGTGCCAATCCTTTGAGGAAGCCTTCCACAATCGGCCATGGCTATAGACAGATCAGCATCAGTTTACCAATGTATCGATGACAAGTAGGGCGTGCTACGCACCTTGTAACGGGTCGAGGAGAAGTGTTCTGCTATCTGTTGATACACTTCATGTACGTTTTTCTCTTCATAGGCCTCTTCATCGGGCAGATTCGGCGTAGAATCGGGAAAAGACGACGATGCCATTTCAGTTGGGTTTTCTGTTGTTGCGACAGGCTCGGCTTAAGAATCCCTCACATGCAAAATCGGAGGGTCCCGGATTTTCTTATGCTGTCTCGTTGCAGTCAGGGGTACGCAGTTATAGTAAGAGAATACAGAGTCTGCAGATTGTGCCGCCAAGACGTGCAGTTCTGGTAATCAGGTTTCAAACCAAACGGTATTTTTCTGGCATTCCATCAAGTAAGGTAAGATTAAGGTTGTGTCTGGCCTTGCTGCTGATGCGCCTTTCGGAGAATTTCTGAATCAGCAGCTGCTGTTAGGCTGATGGTAGCTAAGGTACGTACCTTATCTTTTGGGTAGTAGGCTAGTAGTAGTATTATTCCGGTGTTGCGTGCAAAAGTCCTAAAATTGAGTCCTTCCCAGTTACTTGATCGCAGTGCCTAAGGCAGCATCAATCCATGCAACTGCATCCAATATATATATACAACTTTTTGAATTACCAGAGGCCGGAGATTTCATCTGCCTATCCCGGACAAGCCAAATTATAGCTAGCACAACGTAGGTCAGGTAGATATGGACTTGCTCAGTACTTGGTGTATAGATTGAAAAGGCTTGGCTGGTAAAGTCATTTATTGAGCAAGGGCGTATGGAAGTACGGTCATCGGCCCCAGCCTCAAGTGGTCAATACATATATAGTTGATGATTGAATTTATCTAAGAATCTCGCCATTAAAATATACGAGAGCTCGGGATAACTCAGTCTGGTCTTCCAGTTCATCTGATAGTTCTGGATCAATCCCGACCATCACCATACACATTGTAGCCTGAGGCACACACTCACTCCTAAGGGGGCCAAGAAATGGAGTCGGGCTCCATGTGCCTTTTGTGCACCACTTGATGTCGAGACACCAGACACAGTTTGATATGGTCGAAGTGCGAATTCTGTAGTCCTGGTGAAATATATATAACGTTTGTGAGTGACTCGAAGTCCCATTGTCGTTCCCTGTCCTCACCTTGTCCCTCAACGAAGATCTGGTACGTTATAGGGGATCAAGACCTTGGGTCGCTCTGAAGCCTATTGTCTGGTTCCTGTGTAGCAATACCACTTATTATCTTCACATATCTCTGGCACTCTACGAGGATACCTCCCTCGTTTCCTCTTGCTCAAGCATCAGGAAGATTCCCCATATAAGACATTACGATTCTCATGGCGTTATATGTTCGCGTTGCCTGCAATTCGCCTGCCACCATGTGACCGATAGTCGTGTACTATGACTTCAATTGGGATTCCTTCATTGTAGAAAGCATATAGAACTCAGACCTTGGCTGACCTCCATATAGTTGATCTGCATTAACCACATCAGTGATGGCATTCCAGCCCTCGCCGACAGATGTCTCTGTCATCGTCACCACGCCCGGTACAGCAACCGGTTCCGAACCGCGCTTCCTGACAGAGCGTCGTGTCACTCCGACATGGACTGTCCTGCTGCTGAAATCTAAGTTGGAGACGATGACTGGCATCCCCACTAACTGTCAACGTCTACTACTGAAGGCACCCGGGCGTGCTGATCAGTGGGTAGACGGAGATGACAGTATCATCGGCAACTGGGGTCTGATGAAGGGCTGCGAGATTGAGGTATGCGCCATCTTTCCATCTACCTCTTTCACAATTCGACAATTTCGTCCCATGTACGCTCGGACTCGGGCGGTCCTGGTTATTCATCGTTCATCTTGGATGGTTGGTCTGTCAGGCATTGACAACTACAGCTCAAATGCTTCTTGACTTGTTTGTCTTTCCTCCAGAATTTGGGATTTCAGCCAGTTTCAGATGAATGCAACACCTTGGAATTGGTCTCAAGTGGCAGTGAGCTGTCTAGATGCCTGACAGCGATGACTCGCTGTTTCCTCAGAGCAAGCAACCGACCAGCACATTCTATTGATATTCGCTGAACAATAGCACCATCTCATAGGTTCACGATACTCGCCCTCAAGCGGTACGGCCTAATTTCAATGATTTGTCCTCTGTGGAGAAATATGTCCTCCCCTCAGCCACGTACGAGTCACTTCCAAGCTCGGTTCTAGCCTGGAAAAAAAACCAGAAACTCGGCAGATTCGACCCCAAGGCTCTGTCACCGAAGGAGTCGATGCAAAAGCAGGCAGAGAAAGATACCGAGGATGTTCGCCTTCGGGGTAAGTCATGAAAAAATGGCGACACGGGGTTGAGCGACAGCTCGGCGTTACCCGGGCATAAAGAAGATTATTCGAATCATTTACTGATTGAGGGATGACAGGCATCGCCGTCTCCCGACGTGCTATTATCCTTCCGTCATCGCCTCCACACGTTAGGCGAGGCACAATACGCTATGTTGGGCCTGTACCTACGATACCTTTCCCTGGAGTGGACGTCACATCTGAAGGAACTTCCGACTCTGGTCCCCAACCTATCTGGGTAGGAATTGAACTCGACGAGCCTACCGGAAAGAACGACGGTAGCGTAGGTGGCAGACGCTATTTTACTTGTCCCAACAATATGGGCGTCTTTGTGAAGCCCGAAAAGGTGGAAGTCGGAGACTTTCCCCCATTAGACTTGTTTGATGACCTGGACGATGAAATGGAGGAAATATGAAAATACTTTCCTTATCTCAGCTGAGCAAGTAGTCCAGCAGGAAGAGAATCACAGAAACAGAGAGAAAAGGGGAATGGAAAGGCTAGCATCGGTCTGGCACAATAAGTTTCTATTCAAAACAATAAATCCAGTTATACCAAGCCCCCGCTCGCAATCGTTGCGCTCCTTCGCCGGCAAATAAGAGATGGACTGAGAAGGAAAGGGGGGAAAATGTCACAGAGAAACCCCGAACACCGTCGTTCCAGTACCCCATGCTGGTGAATCGCTACACTAAAAAGGGCCAAAGCCACGAATGAATACAAATACCCAATATGGAAGAAAGCTTCTACAGCATCTCAACGGAGAAAAAATGGAGGAAGTAGGAAAGTGCACTGCAAACACGCTCGCAGTCGGTCCCATCCCACAGGAGTGACCGAAACCGAGGGGAAGAAAAGGATCATGAAGCTTTAGACCCACTTCCTGCCTTTTGCTTGCCTTTCGGCCTGCCTTTACCGGTACCGTTTGGGCGACCCCTTTGAGTTGTTGACTCGTCTTCAGTTGAGACAGCTGGCTTGGAAGCTGATCCGGGGCTGGACTGGTCATTCTCCACCGGAACACAGCCTTGCGTAAAGAAGAGCCGAGCATCCTTCCCATGCGTGTTCGCAAAGCTGTAATAATTGCCTGCAACCGAGAAAAAAGCTAATCAGCATGCGCAATGGAAATGCAATGGAGCTAGACACAAGGCGAGCACGTCCTGAAGAGACTCCCTTACCTCTTGGCACTTGAAATACACAGCCCTTTCCAGCGCTAAATTGCACGCCAGATATATCTACCTGGACCCGTCCGTGACACACGTAGAAGACCATGTGCATCTTCTTTGAGTTCTTGGGTTTCTTGACACCTCCTGGGGGCAGTTCGACGATTCCAGAGCCGATGAACGGGGAGCTCAGCAGCTTAGCAAAGCGGAAGGTAGAGTCTTTGACATCTCTCGTCTCGATACCGGACGGAGCATAGGCGATATCTACAATTATCCCGGGTCAGCGTACTTTGGTGTGATTCAATAGCCAGGCGACCAGAGAAAAAGGCAAGCATTCAAAAGTACTTACCGAGGACCTCCTCTTCGATGGAACCGGCTTGGGTATCTGGATCCCATTTCCTAACATAACCATGCAAGACGCCGCCTTCTTTCTCCCACGGATCGACGTAATCGTCGTCTTCATTGTCCGAATCATCGTCTCGACTCTTCCGCGACTTGGATTTCTTGGATGACCGCCGTTTACTGACTTTTTTCTTCTCCGGTTCCAGTTCCTCTGTTCGGATGATCTCTTTGATAGTCGAAAGTGGATAGCGATGGCCTTCGGCGGCCTCGCCGTCTCCATAAACGCACCTCTCATTTTTCCAGTAGGCAAGCGGCCTAACAGAAACTCGCCCCGAACGAGTGTGGGTTGCGCTGCCATCAGTGGGTATTTCCCGCTTCAGTATGTATAGGCTCCGACCCTTTAAAGGCCCCGTACGATTGACATAATTTTCCACAACTTTGTCTAACTCTGGATTTCCGGAGCTCTTCAACCCCCGTCCAGTCTGACTGGCAGTCTTTGATTTCTTGGAAGGTCGTTCCACGGCATCATCTTCATCATTGTTCATCCTTTGCGATTTTGGGGGTCTCCCAGGGCGCTTTCGTTTCTGTACATTTCCTTGCTCGCTCGTCTCATTTTGCTGTGTGACTTCTTGGGCCCGAGTTTTCTTAGATTGTGCAGGTTTTTTAGGCTTGGGGACGACTCTTGATCGCTCTGTTTTGCGCGAACCGGCAGCTATGTACGACGAAATATCCATGTCGACACGATCAACGCGCTCAGACTCATCCTGTTGATCTTCCGCCAAAGTGTCGTCGCCAGCGTCGATACTGTCGTCGTAATTGTTTCGCATCTGCTCAAATGCATTCGCATTTTCGTCTCCGTTCATTTGACTATTAGCGTCACTGTCTGAGAAGTCAACTGTGACCGTGGTGTCTGCCGTCTTGTTGATTCCTTTATTATTCCGCAGGCCATTGACATGGTTTAGAGAGGGCGCATTGATGGAACGGTTGGTAAGAGGGGATACATCACGCCGTGTTTCCCCCTTAGCACTCCCAAGCCCCTTACCATCTGATGGACTGGAAGAGAGAATGTCACGTTGCGGGCTTGCAGAAGATCGCAAGCCGGGAGTCCGCCGCGGTGATCCACTCAAGCCGGATTTCATGGGAGATCGCGCAACCGGCGGCGGGAGGAAGGATGCGCGCCCTCCGTTCGTTCCACTCAAGAAGTCAGCGGGCCCAAGCCCGTTGCCTGTGACCAGGCACAAGATCAGTATGGTCGCGGACAAATCGGAAGAAGTGAATCACACACCTTCATCCATGGACATTCCATCGGACCCAATCGTAGTGTTGTTGCCATATGCTTCGGGTGACTTTTCGGGAGATGAGAAAATCCCATCAATCTCCTCCATTCCATGCTCGTCGCGCTTGCCTTCTTTTAAGGTAACTCCCGTTCGTCTACATCCCGTGCCATGGTCAGGGTTCCCTTGCCGAAATGACGGAGGATTCCTAAGGAGACATGCCCCTGCATTACTTACCTCCCAGCTTTACCGACGTTAGAATAGTCATAGTCGCGAGTTTTTGCAGGCCCGCGAGGAGCCATTGTTGCGGAGGTTTAGGAGTAGTGGTGCGGGAAACAGTTTCACCGAATTATTGGAGAGATGCACGGGGCCAGCAGCGTCCGATGCCAGAATCTCTGTGCCGTGAAGCTTTGCGAGTAGGACGATGTATCTCATGCAGGGGAACACCCTGTGCCTCGTGCACTAATAGGATGTTGAGAGAGGGAAATTTGAGCGTCGGGCAAGAGTAAAGATGATGGTTACTTGGGAGGGGAATTGCATTGGAATTCATGATGGGCGGCGAACAACGCGCGGAAGTGCCGCTAGTCCGGAACGGTTCTTGACGCGTCCAAAACTCCCAAAGTGCAGTCGCCAGGCCATACAAGCATGTGAGTGTCTTCCAACATCTGCTGATAAATTAGTCTAAATCTGCCTCTTCTTGAGCTTCCTCTTCTCCTAGACTTCGGCCCTGCTGCGAATATGGATGAATCTGGCCTGAGTGTCGCCGATACTCCAGATGCATTTACCTCCGCGGGCTCTTTCATCCCTCCCAGTATAGATCGCGCTCGACTGCTATCTGGAGAGTCCTACGCTTACTATTCTTCATTTCCTCTCGCAAGTACAGAAGGGTCTCCGCAGGCCACTGGCGACAATCAAACAATCACAGCGGATTTTTCCACGCCATCCGCATCCCCGTCATCAAGCTATTTTGTACTGGGTGTCGACGAAGCGGGACGTGGTCCAGTTTTGGGTCCCATGGTATACAGTGCCTTTTATATTCCGCATACTCTCCATCACTCCCTCCTGGCTCGCGACTATAGCTTCAACGATAGTAAAGTTCTCACTCCTGGTGTGCGCGCGAACTTGATGCGGCTGCTCTGCACCGCTGGAAATCCTCTCCATGCATCGTGTGGGTGGGCGACAAAAGTCTTATCTGCGCGAGATATCTCTGCAGGCATGATGCGGCCTGCATCTGGTGCGTATAACTTGAACGCACAGGCGATGGATGCCACTGTTGAAATAATACGCGGCATTGTGGAGGAGCGCAGAGTAGATATTAGAGAGGTCTACATTGACACAATCGGGAATCCAGCGACCTATCAGCAGAAACTGGAGCGTATTTTCCCTACATTGAAGATTACAGTCGCGAAGAAAGCCGACGCTCTATACCCTTGCGTAAGCGCTGCAAGTGTGGTCGCCAAAGTCACGAGAGACGTGGCACTGGAGTTCTGTCACGAAGCCGTATACGGACTTCAACGATCTGAAGCGCCATCGCTGGGAGTGGCCACAGACAGCTGGGGAAGCGGGTATCCCTCGGATTCCAAGTGCGTCAGCTGGCTCAGAAACCATATGGACCCCATTTTCGGATGGGGCAACGAGTGCCGATTTAGCTGGGGAACTGCAAAAGAAATGCTTGAGCTCAAGGGAGGAACTAGAGTTGATTGGCCGGTCGAAGAGGAGGGCACTGCACCGATCAAAGACTTTCTGCTTACCACCGCAAGAAATGCAAAGAGAACTGAGCAGGATGAGTTGCGGGAATGGTTTGGTCGCCGATCAACGGAGGTTCTTTGAGAAGGACCCGCCCATCCATTTGGCTTCAATAGGAAAGAATGGTGAATGTTATGATACCCCAATTGAATCGGATTCTGAACATGTCGAGGTAATTCACAAAGAACAAAAATTCCAGTAGTGACCACAAATGTCCCATGGGTATCTCCTTGAAACTCCTTGTGAAGCACACATCACACATCAAATGAGACTTTCCAAAACGCCGAATAATCATCGCGATTCGGATGAACAGTAAGATTACACAAGCAGCCATTCATCCCGCAGATCATGGACCTGCATGGCCTTTCAAGACACAACTGGAAACTGATCTAAGAACGGCAAGCACGAGGTAAAAGGCGGGTTACGCAATGAAAGAGTGAGTCTTCACAGCATTGCAGTAGAGAAATAGAAGTTCTCCCATAAGTATTCATAGTCTTCGATGACGCTCCCTACCAAATCAAGCAGTGGTTTACCTTTCATCTTGCTGGTCAACCCCTTTAGCCACGACCTATATCAGCGTCAGCTCGTCGTTCCCTTCACCTCAAATGAAAGGCCAGGGATTGCATACTTGGTAATGTTCTCATAGAATGCACCGCGCATAAGCCACCAGCCCATGGCCCAGCCTCGCTTTCTCATTTCCTCCCGTTCAAGCCCTGTGAGGCCACGAAGGCCTCCTGCCACCCGCTCGCGGAAATCGGATTTGGCAAGTTGACGACAACCATACTCCATAGCAAAGCCAATCAACCAGGGCCTCCAGCTTCTCTTGTCCCGCCGCCATCTTTGTAGCGCTAGTGCATAGATGACCGGCCGCAGGATGTACAGCACTTCTGCTAATTGGCCCTGACCACTGACACGGTGCAACAGCGCCTTCGGCGGCTTGATATCATCGGCTGTTAAGACTTTGGATATGAGGAAGTTGGAAATGTCGTTGGCATCGGGTAGAGAAGGAAGCGCTAATCCAGTGCGCGGCATAGTCCAGCTCAAGTCCGCGGACCGCTCACTGACGGGTGTCTGCATCCCATTCCAATCACTCTCTTCTTCCTCCGTAGACCTAGGATCTACCTCGCGCTCAGGTAACGGTGGACTGACCAGCGGCCTAGAATTTGTGAGGCGCAGTAGAAGCAGGCGACATGTCGCTTTGATGATTTCGATGAGAACAACGACGCGCCAGCGTACTTTTTCACCTCGACGTCGCGCGATCATCTCCCAGAGCAATTCGGTGTATCGTACCATCTGAAGCGTAAGAGCAACCTGATGATAAAGAGCCGAATGAGATATCCAATATTTTGTATACCGAGAATGAGGTGTTGGTGCCGGCCGCGGAACTGTTGAAGGAAGTCTCGCAACGACCCGGGAGACGAGGCTATCATGATAGAGCGAAAGGAGTTGAACGCCAGAATGGACTGCTCAAAGAGGAAGATTGTGAGTACATGGGTATCTGCTAAGATGCTTCGATTGTATACAGACCACATTCTGATGATATCTCGGAGTCTCGATACCGCCCTAGAGCTAGATTAGCTTCCATCCGCAATCGATGAGAAGGCGCTCGGGGGCGCTTCTGTGCGGTCCTCACCAGGAATAATATATGTGAGAGATCTCAATGCAGACTCGACTTGACCCACGGAGCTAGCATTCTTCATCACAAAGTCTTCATACAGAGTAAGCCATTTAGACGGCTGCAACAATGTTGCAGATACCGGACTATGACTCTTCCAGTCTGAATTCATCTCCGATGAAAAGAGCTCCGGAAGTGCCGAGCAAGCTACAAGAATATCACTTTTTGCAAAAACAATTGAAGGTTTCGAGGCTGCGAAAAGAGAGAGTCATCAGGCTGAGATAGATATCGCCTCGCTGGATGGTCGCAGGAGTCGAGTCTGGGGTACGGAGTACTGCGGCACGTGTCCGGCTCTTATCCAAAGACAAGACGATGCCGAGGTAAGCTTCCATAAGGGGGCACTCCGCACAGGTACTATTATTATTACCATTACATGTACATTACATTATGACCGACACGTACCTTACTCATTCAAGGTATAGGGAACTGAGCAGGAGTACCAGTATTGCTTATGAATTTGCCAGTCACAGCAACACCGTCAATGAGGTTGGATAGTCATGGCTTGTGCCGAGTCAATCAGCTACCATTATTGCGGGATTGCGATGTGCAGCACCATGCACATGACTGGAGAAGAGCATCAGAGCCGAATGCGAGGAATAGATATGTTGGGTCACTCGAAAGAATGGTCATTGTCGAAGCGGTTTGCTTACTTGGGATACTAAACATTGGGCTATGCCGTTATATTTCCAATATCTGCTGTTATGCACATTTCAAGGTCATTCATCAGCGAATTTCCAGATTCCGCCACGCATTGCTTCTCGATACCGCTCCTTCACTTTTTCCCTCTCGAGATTGTTCGCTACTTCGCGATCATGTTCCAGTTCTTGTGTGTCAGGCATGTCCGTTCGCCAAAATCCTGGAGGCGTGCTGGGACGCTGATGGTCATGTCTATGTTTACTGTAGAGGTTGGCCATGCGCCTCGCTCTGGCCTCATGGAGGAGGCTCTGACGTTCTTCGGCGCTCAGCTGGTCGAGTAGATGTTTCTCTTCACCGAGGTAGTCCTCCAACATTTTCTGCTCTTCTTCTCCATCGTTTGAGCCGTCCGTAGTGGTTGGCGGGCCACCAAGACGCGCCATAGCATGGAATTTCTCTCGGCAGCAACCCGGGCGCGTGCAGCCACTGATACACTTGCGTTCATCCTTTCTGCGGACAACTGTGTCATACGCGAAGTCTAGCCCTTGGTTAGCATTCGGGTTAATCTTAAAATGTCTAAGACCGAGTCGGTGGAGCGGTCGAGCTCGAAAAGGTTTGTCTTCCGAGTGTACAGCGACCGTATCAGGAACTTTGAACGAATGCGACCGCGAACCTTCCTGCGGAGAGGCTTCTGACTTTTCCCGGTCCCCGACGGATATGGAAGGCCTACCAATGGCGAATTCGGTTGGCTCACTGGATTCTGAGGCTTCCTTGACACGCCCCGGGGCTTGTGTACATGGGTCACGGGAAATGTCCCGTTGGTCAGTCCCGATCTCAGCAATGTTTCCATTCTTCTTCTGTATGTGCAATGGATGTCGGGGTCGCAAAGGCCGTTCCAGGAGATCGTCCAGCCGCTGGTGTATCAGTACGTCGTCCATGCTCGTGCTTGTCTGTGTCAACTGGACACGGGATGCCTGCTTCACTTGGCCTCTCCTTGGGACGAGCCTCAAACTTTCATCACCATCTTCCGCTACCGAGTCTAAGGCGTACCTGCTACGTCTCTCTGACCTATTCGATTGCTTTTGCTCCGACCATATCCTAGGGCCATTTGCGCTTGGCAAATTAGTGTCCACAGGTTGAAGTACTATAGGCCGCTTCAGCTGGGTCGGCTCCATCTGATGGCGATTCAACCGTAGAGCCGTTGGATTGCGGGGCAAAGGAGACTTGGTAGTGCCTGATGGAAGCTCATGGGACCGGCCGTCCAGATGATAGGATTTTCTTTTCGTCGGCGTCTCGACTGCGCTGCCAACCTCGTCCAAGTCCTGAGTTCCAGCTACATTATGTTCAAGGTGAATTCGTATAGGGCTAGAGGACATGCTCTCGCTCTTTATCAGAACGGGCTGCGCCAACTGGTCGTCCGCCCGAGTGCGGTGGAGGCCGCGCTTAGTCGAAGCATGGTCTGTAACTGTATCACGCTTTCTTTTCAATGCCCCAGCTTGCGATTCTGTCGAAGATTCGGGGAGTCGAGGAGTTGAAGCGGTTTCATCGCTGTCGATTGAACTTTCTGACTGTGTTGACAATGGCTCCATGGAAGCAGCAGGCGGCAATCCGCCATTGCCTTGTGCGTTGTGTCTGGATGCAGTCAAGTCGGACGTTGGAGTTAAATGTATCTGTGCAGAAGCACCTCCAACCTTCACCGGCAGATCAGTGGGACACAGGGGCGAATTTTTTGAGGGGGTACGTGTCATATCATCTCTGCTATTTTCTGGGACTTGTTTGAATTTGACTGCACGGCCATCAAGTACAAGCGTGAATTCTTCTTTGTTAAGATGAGCACCCCAGTACTGTAACTTTCTTTTATGTCGTTTAATCTTTGCCTTGAGATCTTTGGACGCATCAATCAGTGTCTGGAAATCCTTATAAAGCGCCAGATATTGATCCCAGACGGCCTTCATTTTGTCCGCTGTGAAGCGTCCATCTTCCTGCTCGCCAGTCTCAAATACCCACAGGAGGTGTTCTGGTGAATAGACGTCCTTTAATAGGACCAGTTTTTCCAGTCCCTCAATGTCCTCCAGGCCCACATTATTGCGACGAATTTCCTCTCTTAAGAGGGAAATCTCGCGGTTGAGCTTCAGAACCTCTGCAGAAACATTGTTTCTGTCTGTACCTGCTAGCTTCTCGTCTAGCTCCTTGACGTACTCGTCGCGACGCGTGAGTTCCGTATGTAAGGATTTATAGGCTTCATCGAAAAGTTTATCAAAATTTTGAGAGACAGAGATATGTAGCTGTTTTAAAACCTCCATGAGGGTCGGTCGCGAGTTGCAGGTAAGTCGCCCATCACGTCCCTGAGACTACTGAGGTATTATATTTAATTATCGGTTGAATCGCGAATGACGCGTTGCGATACTCCGTACTATTCCCGTAATAGCCAGCCTCGGTATCTACCTTAAAGGTACGCAACCTATTAAGCTGACTGACGGGCAATGTAAGCAAACATGTAAGGTATCGTTTACATATCTGTATTATTTCGTACCTTATCGTTGCTGAAATCCTTAGATAAGCGGGCAATTGTTCCTTTGACACCTCAAAGCTCATTTCTCATCATCGTCTCACAAGCTGCCTCACCACGCCTCAATTTCATCAAAATGATGATGAGCCTCTTTGGGCCTGGTTGTTCCATCCAGTATCACTTGTACCTCTTGAGGATCAGCACACATAATGTCCAAGAGATCTCTTGACAGTTCCAATACGGATCAACAGCAGCCCAAGCGACCCCGCATAACTCGGGTGGATAGTCAAGATCGCCTGTCCCTATTGAGCGACGAACTGCTTCTCCAGATCTTGTCCTTTCTACCCATACCATCGTTACTAATATGCCAAAGGTTTGCTCTTGTCTCTGTACTCTCTTGATCGGCCCTTTTTCAGTGTTCCGGAGCTTGGCTGACGCTCTTTTTTAGGGTATCTCGTCGTTTCCATGCACTTGCTGGGGATTCAGAGCTTTGGAAAAGGCAATATTACTCGCGATGGGTTCGACCTCGAGCACGTCGAGTGGCGAATATTAGACATGCTACACATTCTGCGTCAAGGGCATCGTACTCACCACATGTTTCAACATGGTTGGGCCATGCTCATTTAGCTGAGGAGGGAAAGGTGACAAACTGGAAGAGACAGTATCGGCTTAGGCATAATTGGTCCAAGGGAATCTGTCAAGTAACTGAAGTCGAACTTCCACAACCCGCGCACTCCCCAGTGCTGATCAAGTTCTGCGCGGGCTTTGTCTTCACAGCGGACTCCGAGCATGGGCTGAGGTGTTGGCGTGCTAGCAATCAAATATCATGCTCTGCTAGACTCCCCCTTGTGCAGTCCGAATCAGAAACCTCAGCATTCCCTACAGCATTAGCGGTGAGCCGCTGCCTACCGCAGAATCTTATCAAAGTAACAGTGGGATTTGCAGACGGTCGTTTCGGCGTCTACGATATGGATACTCAATCGTTATATCTGAGATTACGCTCTTTCCATGCCGCTTCTGCCGATGGAGCAATCACCGCAATGGCCACATCGAATTCTTACCTACTAATGGTCTCAGAGCACAAGGTTTTATCACTGTATGAGATGTTTCTAGCGGAACCTGAGCATTCGACTAGATCCAACGCAGCGAATACGAGCAAACAATCCTCAGGGGAAGATGTGAAACTACTCAAATCTCTCAAGGCAGACAGTATTTTATCCCCGATGTCCTTGTCAATCCGATTGGCACATTCGGAAATCATTGCATCTATTGTTTACAGCTTTTTCCATATTGGCTGTGGCTGGTCATTGGGGATCCAAGAACTGCATTTTGGCAAGAATGGCGAGCAGATTGGTTCTCGACTTGCAACCACCGTTGACGCTCAGTATGGAGCAATGCCGCTGCATCATCTTACTCGTTCGAGGAGGGGATATTCTTCGTCTTTTCAATCCGAACCATCAAGCGGGGAGTCTCACGTGGAACTGACAGAGCCGTCCATATTACACCAAGAACCGCCAACCTCCATTTCCTATTCCCACCCGTACCTCTTGACGTCGCATGCAGACAACACATTGACGGTGTATCTCGTCGTTTCCACTGGTGCAAAACTCTTCGTCAAGGGAGGTCAGAGGCTCTGGGGTCATACTTCGTCAGTAGCTGCAGTGCAAGTGAGCGACCGCGGAAAGGCGATTTCCGTGAGCTCTCGTGGCGACGAAATTAGAGTGTGGGAACTTGAGAGTCTGATTCCGTCACTTGGGTCTTCAAAGGCAGCAAGGGGGGAGAACAGCATCCAGGTCAATCCTGAAAACAAGCCGTGCAAAATCCATGAGGGCGCGCCCCTCCTAGCAGGGTTTCTTGCTTGCCAGCTTTGTGGGCCACAATTGGCCTCTGGGCAGATGTCTCGTGAATACGCTCGGATGGGAGATTGTGTTGGGTTTGATGATGAGCGTCTGCTTCTTTCCAGTCGAAAGGAAACAGGGGCACATTTGATAGAAATGTATGATTTCACATGAAATGTTTGAGCAATATTAAATGATCAGCCAAGTCAGGCATCCTTGGTAAACAAAGAGACTCCCTGATGGACAGCACAGGGATTTTATTTGAAAATGGCCTTAGCTTTCAGAAAGGGACTCTTGTCAATACAAGTTTCTTCAAACAATCTTAAGACATTGTGCGAGGAGAGTAGCGCAGAGCTGGTCTGCTGTTATGGCGGAACATTCAATAGGTTGAGGACCTTGTAGGCATCATTAAAGGCATATGTTATATTCCACAGGGGTCCTTATTGTAAAAAATGAAAAATCAGACAGCTACCGTGCTCAATCTCTCTCATCTCATTATCCCGTTCTCAATCTGTATACACAGATGACACTATATATACATCAATTGCTCGCCTCATCCTCTCGCTCCTTGTAGGGTCAGCTTCGAAGACTGCACGTACCGATATTCGACTCTGCGAATGGCATGTTGTGGGTTCTTGCAATAATGAAAACTGCTAGCGCGATTATTTGCGCTGATTTGAAGAATTCTCTGGATATACAGAATGCATCACGACGAGTATTGGGTCCAACCAGAATGATCAGTCACGCTGCTACTCATTCAGAACCGGGAATTGCTCGAGAGTGGTGCTCTCATGCCATCGCCGGCCGGCAATGCCTCGACCTCGTCTCAAGCACAGTCCAGTATCAGGGCTTTCCACTCGATATATTTTGCTTCACCATCGTGCCCCTCGCATGGCAACTTCCTTGACAATATCCTCCAAAACTTCGGCCAGGTCGAGGAAGCGTTGTCCGCGCGCCTTACCTTGCCAAAAGAAAATACCCACGGCTCGGCTGCCGTGGCTTGCCTGCCCTGGTTCATTTTATCACATGGTTGCTCGAGAATTTATTGGAATACCCTCCTTCTGATTCTTCAAGAAGCCCCTGCCATATAGATTTGAGAGGAGCCATCGTGCACTGTGGGGTCTTCTAGCGAAGTTGACTCCCAGTTAAAATTCTAGCCAGGAACCACGCACGGGAAGCACTCTTTTCCACCCCGCAGGCAGCTAGCGTATCTCTTTCTTTGCTACCACTATTATTACTATTATTTTTTTTTTTTTAATCTTTTTTATTTCCCCTGCGAAACAGAATCAATCAATCTCTGATCAACCTTCTCAATCTCTTTTCTGAAAAAGAAATAAAAAGAAATTCAATACAACAAACTCACTCTTCCTATCTTCGCCCACATATCATCAAAAATGGAATATCAAGCTGGAGGTCGTGGATGCTTCAACTGTGAGTCCTTGCAAATTTAACAAGAAAATCTCTGCGATTGTCAATTTGTGCGTACTGCGCTCTCACCCGAATCTATCTCATTGTCGATGCTTCCCTCATTATTGTGCTGTTTGCATCAATTTCTTTCAATGTATCCAAAGAAGTCGCCGGTCGCGCCAGCCTTCTACTAACACATTTATTCTCTCCTCGCCCGTGTTCTTTTCTTGCGTCTCGCTATAGTGCGCAGTTTTGAAATCTTGGCGATCTGTTCCTCTGAAAAATGGACCTTGAGAAATGTGCTAAGACTAACGACTGTACTTCATAGGCGGCGATGCCTCGCATCAGGTAAGGATTGGCCCAATTCACCAACAACATGGATTTGCCATCTTGGCTCTTTCAGCAACTATAAAGAAGAGAGACTCATCCTGTTAGGCTCGCGATTGTCCTAAGAAGGGAACTCCTACTTGGTACGACCCTCCTCCCCCGTCATAAATCAGACAGAGTCTAATACTTCTTTTGCCAGCTATAACTGTGGTGGTATGCCATTACTCCTGCCTGAACCTTTCAGCCTTTTATGTTTGGGCAAAGACATTTCTAATGACATCGAGCAACAATAGGCCAGGGCCATGTCAGTAAGTTTCATCTTAATACGCCATCTAGATTGACGGATAACTGGTTGACTAATGACATCTCCTTTAGGCCGCGAGTGTACAGTAGCTCCCAAGGAGAAGTCGTGCTACCGCTGCGGTGTTGCTGGACACATTTCTCGCGAGTGTTCCCAGGCTGGTTCGGGTGATAACTACAATGGTGCCCCCAGCGGCGGCCAAGAATGCTACAAATGCGGTCAAGTCGGCCATATCGCACGCAATTGCTCCCAGGGCGGCAACTATGGAGGCGGTTTCGGTCACGGAGGATACGGTGGTCGCCAGCAAACTTGCTACTCGTGTGGTGGCTTTGGCCACATGGCCCGCGATTGCACTCATGGTCAGAAGTGCTACAACTGTGAGTTTCTCGTCAATCTTCGTCTCGCACTTGTTGAGTAACAATGATCGTAGGTGGAGATGTCGGACATGTATCCCGCGACTGCCCCACTGAAGCCAAGGGTGAAAGAGTTTGCTACAAGTGCAAGCAACCTGGACACGTCCAGGCCGCTTGCCCTAACTAGTTGAGACATCGCGGGTCATCTGTCTTCAGTATCGCGTTAGTACACACAGAATCATTAATCGGAGATATCATCCTGGCCCGTCCGAGAATTTCGGGTGGTGCGAAGTCTCCCTCTATGGTGAGGTTGCGACCTCGCTCACCAATATGGTTGCCGGCTTCTCCGTCTTTCCCGACCTTCGGCCGGCATTAAGTCGAGTTAATGGTTACCTGCGCCAAATCGCTCTGTCGGTTTTTATCCCTCAGTTACAAGCAGGGAGACGTCGGCTTAAGAAATGAACAAGGACAGGTTGCAGGTGGACAAAGTGTGATGAACTCGTTGGTGTGATGCAGAAGATCAAGGAAATACCCATAGCTTTGTAGCCTCTAAAAGCAATCTTACTTT